GGTGGGGACACGGACGATGGGATGTGGGTTGTGACCTCATGTTCGGTTTACATATGCGGGAAAGGAAAAGGAGGTAAAGGCCGGGCACCCGTCCGTGCCGAGCACCTGACCGGCTGCAGGGAGAGAGGACGGCACCAACACGCTTCAAAGAGGCGTCCTACGAAACGTTAAGCTCGGGGACAGATGGATGGAGAGTCACGTCCCCTGCCAACAGGGCTGTCCCCTCTATTTCTGCAGGTGCATTTCCAGCCGGCTCCTACGTCTCTCTCTTCTCACGCTTGGTTGTTGCTTGTTTTGAAATCCAAAAGGTTCTTCTACCTCACCACCTCTCCCTGCTCACTAACACACTCACAAACCCTCAAGCTCCTCCCCTCTCATATGAACTACAACATCCTCTCCGAGGTGCAAAGCTCTCCTACTGCTATTAGGTCAGCCCTTACCCCATGCCAGCTCCACAGCCTCTTTACTGCCAGCCAAAACCGAAGGGCTGCTCTCTCCACCACGCGTCCATCAGTGTGCTCTCAGTATCCCTATTTGTTCTGATTTACTACGTAGGCACGGATGGTTAAGGGCCCTCTGGAATGGTTCAGTTTCTTAAACTCCAGAGGGGCGGGGTGGAGAACAAGAGCAACAACACTCCAGAGGCATTTATGGCATTATGCTGCACCGATTTTGGCTGTGGTTACGGCTGTAAACACATTTATTTCATTCTTGTAAACCAGTTGTGATAAATACTGCAGAAGGCAGAGAAAAAAGGCAGGCCGCTGGAACTGTTTACTAACAAAAGGGCTGGCATCTTTTCAGTGCTTTTTCAGCCAGCCAAGAAAAAAATGTGTATTTTACTATAAACAGATCAATTTTACGCCTAAATTTCGCCGAATCGCAGCACTTCTCTTACAGTCTCCAGCATTCGGAAACCCTTTTTTCTCTCCCTTTTTGGTGGCATTGTCTCTTTTGTTGCATTGTCTCTCTGGCGGGGCTTTGGGGGGTTGCTGCCTGCGCTGTGCAACACCATGAGAGGGCTGGAGCAGAGGGGAACCCCCTCCCCGCCCTCCGCGGCCCGGCGAGGGGAGCTGCCGCCCTTTCCCTCTGCCCGCAGGCCGGCCCGGCCCCTCCGTGGCTCTGCTCCGCGTTTCCTGCCCCGGGACTGGGACCGAGGGGGCGATCCCGGCGCTTTAGGCTCTTCCGTGGGAGCGTGCCCCCTCTGTGGCCTCAGGGCTCACCGGGAGACTCGGAGGCGACTCCTGCTCGCTGAATCCCCCCGTTAATTTAAATGGAGTTTGCGAGAAGTTTAAATCTTGTAGAGTATTTTCTTTTTCTTCTTCTTCTTCTTTTTTTTTTTAAGAGTTGTCAGCAACCAGAAATCTGGGCACAAAAGAAACCCAAACCCATCCGTGCACGTTGCAGTCCAATTTAACCCAGTGGCAGAGGAGTTAAAATGCCGGTGAGGCTGCTCGATTTCCGCAGGGACGGGGCTGGAGCAGAGAGAAGGACAAGAAGCAGGGCCGAGGTTTCGCCGCGGCCGCAGCTCAGCCAAGCTGTTGTTTTAAAAGAGCAATAAAAATGAATTATGACTAAACGCCTTCTCACTTAATGGTTTTAGACGGGGATCCCTAGCCCCAGCAAATACGTAAGAGGATTTTTATTTGTGCATGTGTTCCTGCAATTGATCTCTTTGATGACATTCTCATTCATAGAAGGAGTTTGATTTATGACTTTCGGAAGAATTGCGTTCAGCCCTTCCAGCTATAGCCCACGCATCCCAGCTCCACAACGTGTTGCAGAGCTGGGAGAGAACACTCCTCGCAAGGACGGGCAGCAGAGCCCCGGCCACAAGCCCCCGCTCAAGCCCCACTCTCCCGTGTAATGTAACCGCCTGCTCACACGCACTCACACGCACACAGGGAGCCGCGATCGCCCCAGCCCGGGATCCCCCGGTCCCGGAGCAGCAGAGCCCCGCTGGCATCTGTTGCTCGGGTTTAGCTCGAAGGACGTGGCTTACCCCCTGCTTTGGGGTCCAGCAACACCGCTAGCCGGGTGGCCAGGCAATTTGGTGGAGATTTCTGAAAGTCCTTCTTTTCTGTCACCAGCAAAAAGTGGGGAGCCCCGGGGAAATTGTAACTTTAAAGTCAGAATCTCCCTTTTCGTTATCAGTCCTTTGCCCCGCAAGAAGATTTAAACAGAAAAATACCTTCGGCTATGCCCCCGCACCGCCCCTCGAAAGGACGGAGTGGAGGAGCTGATTCTTCCCTAAATGCCTTTTTTCCCCCCGCCCTTGCATTTCTGCCACCCTTTTGATTTTGCAGGCACTAACTTCTCCATTTCCTCTCCTTCTAGGGCTGGTTTCTTGGACCGCTCAGCACGTGAGAAGTAACCAAGCACATTTTCTGTGAGCTCTGATATTTTTTAAGATGTGCTTCCTGAAACAACTTTCTGGCGGCTAAGCACTATTTTCTAGAAAAACAGGATTATTAAAAAAAAAAAAAAAAAAAAAGCTTTCGTGTATGTAACAGTCTAGTTTCTGCAGGAGACACTTATTCTACTGAGTCTCTTATATTTTGCCTGGAACAGAGAAAGTGCTCGTTCATGCTTTTGTTACAGCTCAGCATTTCCAAGCTTTGTATCCTCACGGAGATTAGATGCTACGTTAAAAGGAAGAGGTCTCCATCAAAGCTGCGAATGCTTTTAGTTTCTTTGGGTTTTGTTGTGTTTTGTTGTTTTTTTTTCTTGAGAGAATCCTTGCAATAAAGAACTCGAACGTGTTTTTTACTCTCTAATGAATGTCCTAAATTGCCAAAAGGGGAGAGCTCATAGTCAGAATGTTGGATTTTGATTATTAGTAAATTAAGAGTAGAAGGGAGGGAGAGAAATGTCCGTCATATTATCAGTGTTGAAAGGAGAGAGAATGAGAGAGGAAGAAAGAGAAAGAAAGAAGAGAAAGCTGCTTGTAGCAAACAAGAATTTATTCTACCAAAAATACTTATGACAACGCATCCTAATGCAATACAAAAATAAAAAGAAAGTGAAGATACAATTCCTATATGATCACTTTCTTACAGACCTCATATATTGCTTTCATAGAAGGACCTAGAATGTGGCTAGGTTAAAATTGAACACAACTAAAACTTCAAAAGAAACGGCACAGCAGAGGGAGGTAATAAACAGAACATACTGACCAGGAAAAGGGAGGAAAAAAAATAAAATTAATTCACGGGAAAAATAAAGAAGAATAAGGAGAAAGCAGGACCCTTGGAGAGGACGTCTTTAATTTCTCAGTAATTCAGATGCTGCAAGTCAATTGTCGTGAGTGTGTCTGTAAAAAAGTCAAAACTGTCAGCAGAGATATCTACGGGACTGTCCAGAGATCCTGGCAAACTGGGGGAAACTGCATCTGAAAGCTGTAGGCAGGAATCTGTGGAGAAAACGTTAAAGTCCTGTAAAGAAGGGACATCTAGGGCCTCAGGACTGTCATTGTTCAGGCCAGCTGCACAGTTCTGGGCCATTGTTGAGAGGCAGTTTTGAACAGTGGGTGACTGATGTTGAAAATGTTTCAGATTTTTCTCATTGCTCGTTAAAGGCGAAACGGGGAAAGTTTGGGACTCGCCATTGTGCGCATTCTGCGCCTGCTGCTGGGAGAGGGCATTCTGCTGGAAAGCGTAGCCTTCCCGCTCCAAGAGAGCGCCGGAGACATTGCTGAGGGCTTGCTCGAAGAGGGATTTCTCCTCCTCCTCCTCCTCCTCCGCCGCTTTCTCGGTGTCCTCTAGGCTCTTAAATTTCCCCTCGCTGTTTTGGTTCTCCTTGCATTGAGTCTGTCTCTTGTGCTTCATCCTCCTGTTCTGGAACCAGACTTTGACTTGTCTCTCAGTCAGATCGAGCAAGGCTGCAATCTCAACCCTCCTTGGTCTACAGAGATACTTGTTGAAATGAAATTCTTTCTCTAGCTCCAAAAGCTGGGTGTTGGTGTAAGCCGTCCTCAGCCGCCTAGATCCACCGCTACCACTATCGGGGATTTCAAGGGGGTCTGTTAAAAAAAAAAAAAAAAAGAAAGAAAAAAGAAAGAAAGAAAGAAAAAAGAAAAAGAAAAAAGAAAAACAACACCACCACACGAACCCCAAGGCATCACGGCCAAAGAACAGCGAAAGTAAAACCATACACACGCACACACAAAACAGATAAATGTTCGGATTGAATTTCCGCACCCCGAACACATCGCATCCCGGGGGTGTGGGGGGAAGTGCTCTCTCTGCACGTATGTGCCTATATCTATATGTCCATATAGCATAAAATAGCAACTGCAACAAAATGGCCGCCTTTGGATGCAGTAAACCCATTGTGTTGCACTGCTGAGCGCCTGGTGCTGCGTGCCCTTCAGCCACCTCCGCAGCATCACTGCCTCCAGCTCCCCAACCTCCCCACACCAGAGCAAACTTTATATTAGCCATACTGCAATTTATAATTAATGCATCAGCTGCTGAGCTGAGCGGGAGCAATCTATCACTCTTCATTACTGTCAAATATCCCAACTCTAGGACGGCGAGACAAGAGAGGTCAGCTCCAACTCAAATAAATCATCCCGCATTAGGCAAGTTTGGGGAAAGTTTGGGTTTTCAGAGAGCCCGGCCAGCGCCGTCCTCCCCGTCCGCC